TTTTTGCTTTGAGCTATGCCTGCTTAGTGACGATCGCAGGTTGTGGAGAGGGCCCGCGCCGAGATTTCGACAATGTGGCTGCGTGAGGAGTGATATGATCGTTTGTTCCATTGATGAGGATCAGCATTACAGTAGAGATGCAGTTCGCAAGCCGCCAAGTTTTGAGGCACCATTGTGTACTGTAGCTCCTCAAATTTCAAGGAGATCCAGGCTGCTCATGAGGGAGGCCAGGAGGCGTAGCACCCAGAAGTTGAGAAACTGCAAAGCTAGAAAATCCAAAACTATTCGATCATAGAATGTGAACGAATATGGCCCTGGGTCGCCCATTGCACGGCTCCTGCTTGGACTTTCACCATTTTCGTCGCTGAGGCTGCTGCACGAGTTGTTGAGAAGGCAGCTAGAGAGCTACTTGGCTGCAGTCGAGACAGTATGCAAGCGGCCTTCCGCAGCAAAATGTCTTCCGGAGGTCCGGCCTACCACCGAGTACAAGCCTTTGCTCTACCACCGACTTCATGTTGTACTATCTGGAAAATCCGGCTCCCATCCAGCCCAGGCGTGGTGCGACGGACGCTGCCGCTGCCCGAGCGGGAGACCAAAGCTGATGCCCGGATGCCCAGAGCATCTTTTGGTTGTTTATGCGTCGGATCTCAAAACGTAGCGAAGTGCGGAGCTCTGCTTGGTGTTCAGTCCGTGCTGATGACTCCTCCAGCATCGCCTTCTCGAGTGCAAACCTTAGATAGACCACATCCCCACAGCTTATTCAAAGACCTCGGCGCAGCTTGAAAGGGCCGAAACTCAGTTCCCGGAAGTGCCGCAAGGTGAGGCATGTGGCCTCACCATGCCGAGCGCTGAAGGCCTTGGCCTGTGAATGCTGTCTGAGCAAGCAGACATTCGAGAAGCTAGCGCCATGTAATTTAATCGCTAGCGCGGGGACCGCGTCAGCAAGGGCGGCCAGGACCGAGCACTCAATGTTAAGGGGGGTGAGCAGCATTTTCAGGATCGAGGGGGAGGGTCAGACGGAGGGAGGGGAGGGAGGGGGTTGGAAACAAAATGCAGCCAAAACAGGCCCCCTGCCTGGACGCGGTCACAACCCAGCCGACCGCATGCAGGCACCCTACCCGACCGCAAAAATGAGCCAGACAAAGGGGTTAGGGGGTGGGCAAACTATGCCTGGTTCCCCCCACAAAGACGCCCGAGGCCTCCGGCGTCGGCGGATTATGCTCAAGGCAGAGCCCAAAACCAATAAGCGTAGGTGTCTTTAAAACGTTGCTAAATTGCCCGACGCCCTACACTTTGACATTAGCGCTGTCTGATGCCGGATTCTGGGCAGGGCGGGTCACCTTTGACCGCTTCCGCACGCGCTGTACGCAGGCGCGCAAAACTTGGCAGACTTGCGATTAGGAGACATCTTGCCGAGCCAGAACTTCGCGGTCTGCAAAGGAATGAGGAAAAAACGAGGGTCAGTTTCTGTGGAGCTTCTGCTTCCCAACGCTCTTCATCTGTCAGGCTGAGGAAGAGTTTCAGTCCCGAGGCACGCTGGGTTGCTTAGCACATCGTGGGTGTGAATTCTAGCGGAAGACGAAGCAGCAGTCTCAGTATTATTTGCTCTTTCGCCAATTCAGGTCGGAATTGTTGCTTCAGATTGCTGGGACAAATTTGTGAGGTTTGTTTGACTGTGACGCAAGACCATCATCGCAAGCTGACCTCAGTTTCCAAGACAGATCTGCCAGGCAGATGCGCAGTCTGACGTGTCGGACTGGGAGTGCTGGCCTAAGTGCAATCCCAAGGGCTGCGACCGAGTTTAGATGGGTGCAGAAAGGCCATCCCCAAACAACGACAAGCAGAAGCCTCCAGATCCGCCGCCCAAGAGCTGTTGCCTCAGTTGAGAAGGAGATTGCATGACAATCTTCACATCTTGTCTGCAAGGCCTATCTACAGTGATTCCGAGAAGGCGGCGTGTGTTGCCTGCCAGACCGCTGTGCGGCCCCAAGCTGCCAACGGGCAATCGTGGGCTGTTCCTGCGTCCTTGCAGGGCCACTTTTACAGTCATGAGGCCTTCCACACCCTCCTCCAGCTCATGCCCGTCTCGCGCATCGCCTTCAGCAAGTTCGCGGGTCTCCAGTCCTCAGCCAGATGCATCTTTCCTGAAACAGCCTGCAGTCAGATTTCAGAGGGCCACTATGGTTGTTTGTCAACAAAGATCTGATTTCAGGCTTCGCCGGTCTCAAAGACACCTCTCTCCGGAGATTGTCCGGCCAGGCAGGGGACTGTCGCCAGCTGCAGAGAACTGAGGCTTTGCTGCAGCTTAGGCTAAGCAATTGCTGGTCAGACCTCTTTCCGGAGGCCCTCATTGCATGCGCAGTGTCTGCAAGCCTTCCATGCCCTAATATGAGCTTATGGCTTCTTCTGAGCTTGCTTCTCTCTGCAGCCCTCTACAACTACGGAGCTGATCACAACTCCGCGCAATGATGATGACGCCGCTCGTCGCAGGCTGATCGTTGCATATTTCCACTGGAGTCACTAAACAGGAATCGAGTGCTGGCCTGTGCAGTGGCTTCAGTGCGCCACAATGCCGGAGCAACCGAAGCTGCTTGTGCTGTGCATGCTTTGATGAAGGACTTTTCCCGGCGAAGGCCAAGAGCAGATGATCTAGAGCTGTTGTGTTTGGACAACATTCTTCAAAGATGTATTTTGCACATGTGAGACCCTGGAAAACAGGTTGTATTTCACAGTGATCATTTTTTTAGTTTCTGTCTGTGCAGCACGGGCTAAATGCTTCAGTACATGAGGGTCCAAGAGCCGTAACACTTACATCTTGACACACATTTTGGATCTGTGGCTTTTCTTTCCTCACAGTAGCTTGAGAAAACAGCCTTCAAATTTTGATGTTCAGCTACTAGTCCAGAGCTAACGTCTAGAGAGCTGTTTGTGTCAACGTTTATCTTCCTGGCCCTCCTCACCTGAGCTTGATGCCATGGTTTGCCGAGACGTTGCGTCGCTTGGCCGAAGCAAGTGTGAGAGTACCCAGCCCGGAAAGGGCGAGCAGCGTAGTCATTTTCCTGGAGCAATTTGATGTCTGTGGCTTCAAGCTAAAAGGTCACTGCTCTATTGGGCCATGCTGGCTGCTTGCACTGTGGGGCCGGGCACCGTGGCTTTGCTGAACCAGGGTCGACTGGTCGGGCTGGAAAGACTCAAGAGTTAATCATCAACGCTATCGCGCGCCCGCCTCGGCTGGCAGGGCGCGGAGCACACAAAAAGGTCATGGCATGTACTTGACACATGGGGTTAAGGGTCAAGGGAGTAACAGAGGCAAGCCTGAATTCAGACGTGTTTGTTGGGGGAGTAGCGGCGAATTGCATGGGGACTTACAGCTTCCGACCTGGAACTTGAGGCCGGGGCTCTCCAAGCTTGCGAACTCCCTCACTAAAGGCTACCCCAGCCAACCCCCTCGATGGATGCTGGAATCCTGAGTTTCTCTGACCATAGAAGAACGCGGTGCCAGAAGGTAGCCTGCCATGTAGCAGTGGGAGCGGTGGGGTGAGGAGCGGGGGGGATGAGGAGGAGGGGGGATGAGGATCAGGGGGGGATGCTTCGGGATTCCGCGCGGGGTGGTCAGGCTGGACTAGGCCACCCACCATGGGAGGAGAGGGGGGGATCTTCTTGGGTTCCAAACGCCATGAGGCTGGATAGCCTCGTCGAATCTCATGTCTTCTGGTCCCATCTAGCCTCACCTGCAACTTACGCGACAAGTGGTACATGAGAGGCTTCTGTTCATTAAGGTAAGTCCACGTGAATCATGCTCAAGTATGCTCAAGGAATAGCAGAGCAAACTGAGCAACTCTCAGTGCTTGGTGAGGTGGTGACCTGCGCGCGGGCAGGAGCAGAGTATCAGCTGCTCGATAGATTCAGAGTTCTTCTCGCTTACAAGAACCCATGGCAGACAGTGCGCTACTGTACCTATCAACATCTGAGAACCAACAGATTTTTGTTTGCATGCTGCCAGCTCCAAGCAAATGGCTTCCTCTCGGCAAGCTGGGTTATATGAATTCACCAGGTGCATGAATTCAACCGGGTACGCTTGGTGTTCTAGGCTCTGCTATTAAGGCAGGATTGATGTCTCGCAGTCTTGAAGATAATAGAGCAAAGCGCAATTGCTTGGAGACATGCGTCTGGCGAGGCTGCACTTCGTCTGGGCTCTGCTGTTTGCTTCCTTCTTGGCTTTCACGCTTCAGGACGACGAGACGTGATCTTAACTTGCCAAATGAGAATTCTGAAGTTCTTTGCAGGAGGGCTCCGCGCGGCTGACGATCGTCTCGGGAAAGACATTGGGACAATGCCTTCAGGACGACGGGCCTCCAAGCATGCTGAGAGGAAGCAGATTCCCCTTGGGTTTCGTTTGTCTGCAGAAGATGGCCTGCATTGGAAGATCCTGTGCCTGGTTTCCTTGGCCGCGCTTGTGCGCTGGAGGAGAAGCACGGCGCACTGCTTCCAAAGCTTGACGTTGGAGGTACCTCGCCGCGCAACTTGCTGCTGCCAGCCATGGTGCTCTGAAAGTATGCAAGGCAGAGGAGTCAGGACGAGGGTCATTTGTTACACGAAATCAGGACAGGACTGAGCCAAGCCAAAAAACTGCGGTAGCCGATTTCGGAATCTCCATGACTAGCACCAAGAAAGACTATCAAGCCATGTTTTAATGGTGCGTAGTGGCTGCTTCCGGCACCGGCAACACCAGGTCCAGCACCAAAATTTTGCTGGGCATTGGCAGTGGCGGTGCATCTTGGCTGCTGTAGATATCAACCAAAACTCGAAAATTCATGCCAGTTTCTCTTGCGCCTAGGTACTGCGGCAACTTGTTGTACGAGTGCAACAATTTCGCAGGTGGCATTGACGCGCTATTTGGATTCCCAGGCCTATGCTGACACGCAGACACACGCAGACAGTTTTTTTCGGTGCACGAATCTGTGGAACTGCATAGCTTCCGCGCGAGTCGCTTTGCAGGGATGGCACGGCTCCCGTCGAACTTGCTGCGAATTGGCGGCTGCTTCGCGTATGCCGTGGCTGCGACTCATCTGTTCAGCAGGTGCTGATGTACCTTCCGGCTATTAGAGGCTTGGAAGAATGGGTAATTATTCTCTTACAGTTCCATAGATTGGAAACATTCTTTTTTGTTTTTCCTGTCCTCCAGCGACTCACTACGGGGAGCCACCTAAGTCATAACGCTTTTCTGCTCAATGCGGATTTAAGTGGGGGAGTGTCTCCGGCTAAGTCGTAACAAAGTGCAGTCTCCCCGCAGCTGCTACTAAATACGGGGAGGATGTTAACATTTCAATCCATAGAATGTGCTTCCAAATGTGCATTGTTGCAGCGGCTGACTGGGGAGAACGAGTTTCGTTATGATCTGCTCCAAAAGTCGCAACAAGTGGAGCCTTGAGGGAGAGCTTCCCGAGCAAATTTTATTAGGACTTCGCTGTTGGCCTGTAAGAGAGAGATCTCGAAATCGTTTCGCAGACTCCCGCTTGAACTGTTTCCACCTTGACTGAGGCGCTGATCATTCTTTACCTAGACAAAGCGGACTCCGTTGGAGTTGGGCTAGGCGTTTCGATGATGGCCCGCTCCTCAACACTGCAGCGTCTGTCCAGGTCAAGCTTCACCCAGAAAGCCTCTTGTGTCCAGGGCTCCCTGAGGAGAGCAAGATAAGACGAGACTTTCCTAACTGCCCCTTCCTTCTGTTTTTGGGAATGATATCTGATTCAGCATCATCCGTGAAGCATGATGGGTCACTTGCCTTCACAAGAACACTTGGAGCACTGCAGGCAATGATCGTTCTGTTCCTAGTGGTGGCGGTGACCGTCGGGTGTTCCTGGTGCCTGCCCGAGTGGCTATGGGTTTGTGGTCAGTTGGATGGTTACTGCTCGAGGTGCCGTCTGCACCTGGCCACTGAGCGTCATGTGACTTAACATGGTTGGGGGATTTTGTGATGACAGCGAGACCGCACTAGGCCTGCACTCTTCCTCGGTGCTCTGCCATCCCTGCCTCGGCCCTCACCACTGCAGAGTGCGGCAGCACCATGCGAAACTGCTTTAAGCATCTTGGTGGAAAGAAAGGGTTGGCTGTAATGAGTGGTGCGTGTTGGAAAGCTCACCTTCACAAAAGGACGCAAGGTAACATAATGTTCTGGGGCAGCTTAGGGGATTCAAGAGTTACGGACCTGAAAAGTATGTCTATGGAGTAAAACTTCAACTTCTGTATCCTCATGCCACGACGGCAGCAGAGCCGCAACATTTTCAGCAGGTCTGGTCGGCACCACGGCAATCGGGTTCAACCTTTTCCTCAGTGGCTCCATGGCCCGACACAAGACGCTGGCAGAGTGCCGCCGAGGTATTGAACCCTGTCCACATTTGAATGCAGTTCTGGGAGCTTTTGCTAGTACCAAAGTTACCAATTTGCCCGACCGTGGCACCAAGCCAAGGCATTCTCAACTCTTTCAGCTCTCATTGTGTCCGTGTTGCCGCTTGCCTGCAGTTCTGGGATTGATTGTGCGACATGTGCGACCTGCTTTGAAGCAGGCAACAGCGCAACAACTCAGCATGGACGGCCAGAATCCGGACTGCAAGCCAGCCTCTTTTGCTAAGTTCCTGCCCAGGATTATGATTGTGGCAGCGGGCGTCTTTGAAGAACAAGGCGGTACGGCTGGTGGCTTGGTTGAGCTGCTTGTGTGCAGGGCTCTGAGGCTTGAGCCCAAGCAGAGAGATTCAAATGCCAACGATGCCCAAGGCGCCCGTTTCAACATCATCGACTTAGCTGCTTCCATCAATGGGTATTTCGGCGCGGCAGGCCTTTGCAAGGGAGACTTCATGACTTCGGTTCATGGTCATTCAGGAAGAGCAGGCTCCTTCATTCGTCACAGATTGGATAGACTAAAAGCCTAGACTCCCTTCTCGTACATGAGACTCATAGGCAGAGGTTGCAGGCCTCGCACCTTTCTACAGGCACGACAGTGTTTGCGTTGGGCTTCGTGTCGGCGGCGCTGAGCTCGATGCTAACGGCACCCAGGATGGATTCGAATGTCAAAGTCATTCAAATTTTCAGAGGCTGGGCCAAACATGTGTAAGTTTCTGGCCGACCAGAGGTCATAATCGGAGCTGCTTTGGCGGCTGAGGGTCTTCTTCTCCGGCCTCTGAAGGACATAGCCCTTGTGGTTTGGTTTTTAAAGGCTGATGCACTTGAGCTTAGAGGCCCAGAGCTTTGGTGACCCAGGACGTTGAGGACATATTGGAAGAGCCCAGGCTGTCGCCAAGAAGCTTTTGGTCGATTGCCGCTCAGCGCGCATGATTTCTTTGACAAGTTAGCTTTGCTTGCCTGTTGTCGTGGCTTCCAGGCCTTCAGCATGGTTGCCATTGCCGTGCTTGCGATTTGTATCAACCTTCCGCGGCCCTCCGTGATCTTAGTGGCGCAGCTGCTCCTCAGCGCGGTTTGCACCTTGAGTCATGTGATAATTGATCCCTCGCTAGTCAGGTTCTTGGGTCTGATTCTAGTGATTCTAGTGATTCTAGTGCATCAGTGGCCGCAGTCGCTGCCAAGTTCACAAGTTGCGTGCACTAAGATTCAACGGAATTCTGCTGCCTTTCTTCTGCGTATCTTTGTTGCTTTGCCTTACGGACGAGAAGTTCATGGGCGCTGCCCCGCAGAGCCTGGGGCCCAGGCGCACTCATGAAGGAGACAGACGAGCATTTCTTTCACCTGACAGATGCTGTAAGGATTCTGCTGCAGGTGCTAATTAAGCTTTTGCCCAAAAACTCGACAGCTTTTTTTGCAGAGAAATTCGCTGCGCTACTAAGGCATATTTGCCAACGTGTGCCTGTACGTGTCAGTAACAGCCACATGGCGGCAACAGCCTGGGCTTGAGCAAGGTAAGCTTTGGCCCTCAATTCGATTGTGACCAGCGGCGTGGCCGTTGGAAATACAAGTCTTCACTGCAAGTAGCCCAGCGAGTGCCGTTACCTGTTACCAATGTCAACCCTCCGCATCACGTAGCACAACACCCCCGACTTCGGAAGGGGTCCTATTGGTGACATCCCGCAAGTTTGCACGAAGCTGGCAGTGCTGCAACGCACGCAGGCAAGGTCCGAATGTCAGGAAGGCCATTCTTGGAGTAGGCTCCCGTCTTTGTGGCCTGTTGCCATCGAGATGCTACTTTCAAGCCGCTGAAGCTGGCTGCTGAGGTGACATTTGTCCTGGCCTGGCGCGTGGTAGTCCAGAAGTCAGCTGTGCTGCTCTCCTTGGTCACAGGCCCCTTTGCAGGGTTTCGTCAAATCGAGCTACAGTGCAGACGACACAGCCACCGCTGCCATAAACAGCCAGCAAGGCGCCCAGCTGGAGAACAGTGCTGGGCCAGTGCTCCTCGTTGCTACGGGCCTTGCGCTGGTGTCCATGTGTCCAGGCCAATTTGAACAGTATTGGTGATGCTCACGCTACCCTATACCTAGATTACAAGTGGAATCTGGCTGACCGTGGATTTCCTCGCCTAAATTGCACTAGGCCGCTGTTGTAAACTTTTGTGCAAGCCCTTTGTAGGGACGCCATGTAAGTGCGGGATAGCCGGAGCCGATCAAATCTCGATGATGATCATTGTCATTCTGCTGGCTGGTCGTGCGCCTGTACTCACAAGACAACGGGCCTCAGCCTGCCGGTCCTAGTTGCCAGGATTTGCTTGAGACGGTTCGTCTTCCTCAGTTCAACATCTCACTTGAGATCACTTGAGGCTAGGAGTTGGGCGTTATGCACACCGCACTGGCCAGAGTGCTGCCTGGCGACTGTTTGGTTTTCTGCGTATGTAAGCTTTTCCGCGGTGTTTTGAATGGTGAGGTGGGTGCCAGCTAAGGTAGAGCTCTGTGCATCTTCTGAAGAAGGACCGCAGCGGTGGTTATTGGGCATCTGATTGGCAGTCTCATAATCAGAGCGGATACAACTACAGAGTTGTTCTGAAATTGGCTTTGCGGCGCCCGGGACATGCCGTCCAACACAGGCTAGCTGCTTGTGCGATATGCAGTGCTGCTTGTAGCCCTGCCACCCTAAGTAGCGTCGGTCGATGAACAACGTCAGGATCTATTTCCAGCACGTCAATTGGGAATTCGATGGAGTCAGATCCAGAAAATCTTGTGAACCCTGCGGGAACAGCTCGCATGTAAAGGGGGAACTCTGTCCCCGCTTCCTCTATGCTATCATCCAAAAGCATGACTGTGTAAAGAGAATGTGAAGTCATCCACTGTTCATTGTTAATGCGAGCTCTTCGGAGCCTCGGCAGTCGACAGAAAGACTGCACAGCAGCTGCAGAGGTCGTCATGGCGCATGAAGCGCACAGCATGAGTCAGACATGAAGTGGGTAGCGGGAGGGGACGCATTCGCAAGGGCTGGTGGATGTGTACTGATTGCAAAAGGCCTCCTGCTACCTTCCGCAGTCTTACTCCGACTTCAACATGCCGCGAAGTGTCCAGCGTGTAGTCTCGCGGGTTCAGGGCATCTGTTTGCCCACCCGGTGACAGTCCAGCGGACGGTTCAGCAGACCATTTATGGTAGTGAAGCACAGGCATTCTTAGGGAACCTGGCTCAGCAAAACAGCCTGGCAAGATTTCGGGCTTGCACGACGTTTGCAATGACATGGCCCACTGGTTACGTGTTTCGACCTGTCAGGTCCGGCTTCTGGACGAGGTCCAGAGGGAAGGCACATGACAGGGAAGTGGCAGCAGTTCAGTTTGTGGCGGAAAGTTCTGGGTTAATCCATCCTGCCCACGCGAAGGAGGTCAGATGTCCGGCTGCGGCTATCTCTTGTAGCAGATCGTCTTGAGAATGCAGTCCGGGCCCTTGCCGTGAGCGGCGCCTAGGAGTAAGCTGCTTCTACTCCGCAGCGCCTGAACGCATGACTGCCAGGCACTTTCTCAGTGGTCTGATGGGCCCAAGTCAGATGCAGGCACGTCTCGTCGGACAATAGCCCTTTAAGCTTCATTGACTTCAGGGAAGCGGTGACAGTAAGAGAACACGGGGTTGAGCAGGTGTGTCGGACCATGACGAGAGCATGACACCCGGAGAATGCTGAAAGCAGAGAATCCTGTTTTAGAAAAGGTATCTGTCGGCTATAAAGAGTTCTAAGATAGGATGTTTGGGATGGTTTTCATTTTACTCTTCGTGCATGAGGCGGCACGCATCATGGGAATCTAATGAATCACTAGTGTAGCGCTAGGAAACCGCTGGGCCAGCGCTAGGGATGTTTTTTAACGCCTCGATTGATCATATCTTGTTGAAGGGATGGATGAGTTGCAGGAACTGTTATAACGCCGTTTCTGGTTAGAAGCGAATAGCAAAACAAGCTCTGCGGTAGAAGCTTTCTGCACATCCACCAATGGCACGCAGGTTTCAAGCACTTCGGAAACAGCAATTAGAAGTTGGAAGACATGGAACACCATCTTTCTTCAGTGGAAACTTGATGCCGAGGCTCCGCTTTCGTGTCTTGCAGCTCATCTCCATCACGGCGAAGGCTGGGTTTTAGAAACAGACCGGCCAGGCAACTCATGACGTCCAGCATGCATGAAGCTTACCATGTGGCTCTGACCTAGACTGATTTGGTGCAGCCTGGGTTTGGGCTCTGGCCTTCGTCGGCATATTTGCATGACACATACGAACTTCATGCATATGAACTGGTAAACTGGGAGCTCTCTTGGCCAGTTGCGACATGGGCACTCCGACCAGCTCGGACAACTGGGAGTCTGCGCGAAGTAGCTGCTTGGATGCAGCGAGACGTGCCATATCACACTGTCAACGAGGCGCAGTTCACATGTCGGAGTCCTCCATGTGTTCAGGTGACCAGCAAGCAGTAGGTAAGCACATGGTATGGTAATCTGATACTTTTCAATTGTTGGATTCGCGGGTATTGTGGTTTAAACTGCCAGGCGTTCCCAGCATTCCGGCGGCTTCAGTGGAGGCGCTCGGAATGCAATCAGGCTTCTGCGCAGCTGCCTTCCCTGCATCTTGATTGCCAGGCCACAGCGCCAGCTTCCGCGCTTACAAAAGAGCTGAAGCAAGAGGCAGAGCATGTAGCATCTACATTGACTGCATAAGACAGTCCATTCTACCACAGACAGCGCTCTACGATGGGTTGTTGCTTCTTCTAGATTTAGATGTTGTGCCAGTTGCGGCGACGCTCAAATCCACGCGAGCGGTCTCCTCGGAATTCTTTGCTATTCTTGTGGACTGCTTCTGCGGGCGCAGCCAAGTTTCCGAGATGTTGTTAATTCCAGTGCAGTCGGCTCGAGCCACGCCTTGTGACCATGACCAAGCACATGTGTGCAGAGTTGCGATTTCCAAATGCGCGACTTGTGATGTAAGGCGTCTTATCTAGCATGACCTTCAGCCGTTTCTCTATGGTGATAAGGGTGCTTCGACAAAGTCGCTCATGTCCTTCGTGGTCCATGTCGCCTTGCTTAGTGGCCGGCAGATGTCCCTGACCGTCTTGACTGACACTGTGGTGCAGGACGAAAAAGTTGCTTCGGACATGATGAAGTCAAAGGATTTTGAAATGTGGCTCGTGACACTTCAATAGCAAAAACATGATCTTGAACAGTTTGCATTCTGGTGCAAGTGCTCCCTTGTCCTGTTGAGGCCTTTTGAATCCTGAGTAGCATGCTGACGCTAAAACCTGCACCTACTTTGCCAGGACTTGAAGCAAAGGGTGCAGCAGGCCGCGCGCCCGGCTTAACCAGACGATGTCTTGCCAACTTAAGCCAACTGCCTGAGCAGGAGCTCCATGTCAGCATTGCCAGTCTTGTTGGCCCTGCAGGAGATTGCTTGTACACACTAGACAGTAAAAGGCAGCGAATGAATCGCGATTGTTTGGGTGCGAGGGATCCGACATTTCTTGTTCCCATGCCCTCAGTATGATGGAGCACATTGTTAGATGCGTGGTGAACGGGTGCTCGACGCTGCAAATGAGATGATAGCCGTACAGGATCAGCCCTTGACCAGCGCGTGACTGCCTGCCTGGAAGGAGACCTTCTGCAAAATCAGCTCACGCTCTCAGAAGCAGGGGTTGCAGACGGTGAGACGCTGCATGCCATTTGCTGCCCAGCCATGATCGCCCTTGGGATGCAAGGTTCATGGTGACCTGGATATCATGTCTAAAAGCTAAGCTGCTTCACATTGACCCTGCGGTGACAGCGCTGAATTAGAAAACGCTCGTAAAGGCCCAGGGTAGTCTGGTTGGTTTCTTATTCCAGAAGCGGGTATAGCTTTTGGATTTTGGATTTTGGCGGTTCCAGGACAGTCATGGTAGTCTGGTTTACTCCGCATTGCATCGCATATTATGGGCTCTTGTGCCGTCCAGGCCTCCCGGACGCCAAATCCAAGTCGAAGTAGAAAGATGCTCTCTGAATTGCGGAGGCACTTTTGTTGGCCTCTCCTGGAGCCTAGACCTCTGGGGCCAAAACCCGTACCGAATAAGAACACATTTTCCTATTCAGCTTGCTGTGCCAGAGGGAGGCCGGGAAAGTTTGAAGGCTCTGGAAAGTTTGGAAAGGCCATACTACTTGAGCCGGAAGCAATCTAGATGAGAAAGCATTTTAGGGCTTTTCCAATGTCGAGACTGCAGCTGACGAGTACTTAGGAAGGGGGCCACTCAGGAAGCTGAGCGCTATTGTTTGAGGGATTAGTCCATGATTTGAAGGGCTTCGTTGCCATTTCACCGCGTGTAAGTCACAAGCGTCCAAATGAGAAAACAAAACGTACAGGTCAGGCGGGTCTCAATTTCTTACCTCCGAAGCAAGAATAGCTCTGCAACATTGAGGGATTTCTTACGTCAGAAGCAAGAATAGCTCTGCAACATTGAGGGATTTCTTACGTCAGAAGCAAGAATAGCTCTGCAACATTGAGGGTTTTGGAGCTTCAGTGCCTCGTTTAAGTAGCTCTCGCAACTGCAAGAGCAGCCTAGGCTTCGAGCCGGCGTTCCTCCGCGTTTGCCTTGATCCGGCGTGATGGCTCCGTAGTGGCTGGGTGAAATGGGCATGCCAGGGAAGACACTGCTCAGCTATGGTCATGTGGTTTTTCTTGTTCGATGGCATTGGTGTATGTGGTAAAGTCAGCAAGAAGCTGCGCTTGGGTGCCTGGACCAGCAGTTCGAGTGCTCTCTGCACATGGCTCCAAGCAGTTCAGAGGTGACCTGGGGCGGGAGCAGCACCCTGCGTTGCAGCACTTTGCAACAATCCAAGGCCTCCGTTTGAACCTAGTGGGCCAAGGTGTGGGCTGTGCGGTGGGGTGGCGTAATTTATGATTTGAGCGTTGTCTTGCTAGACTGGATGGGGCGAAACATGCTTGTGCTCTCCGAGTCCTTGTCTCACCTGTTTTTACCTGACTGCGTGCACTGCATGCATCTTGAAGATCGATGGAATTGCGAACCTCCAAAACATCACTGATTCCTTTCCAAAATCACACAAAATGTCAACTGGTTTTCAAAGAACAGAACGTTCTTTTTTGGTGCAAGGAGGTCATCCAGATCCGGGCTAACATGGCCGCATTCGCAGCGCTTCAATCTGACGGCTCTGTGGCATGCTGGGGCAGCAAGACCTCGGGAGGCAGCGGGCGAAATGATTGGGCTGCAGCCAGGCGTTACGCTTCCGGATTACTTGAAATTCTTCATGAAGTTCATCCGTTTCTCTCATGAAGTAGTTAGATGGTTTTACAGAATGAATTCAGTTTACAAACAAGGTAAATGAAAGGTGGTAGAAACCCCCGATCTTTTCCTCTAATGGTTCCTTCAATCAGAACGGTTTATGAAGCGGAGGAACATTGCCTTTGCAATCATACTGGTAGGCCCGGTGGTAAACTCCTAGCATTCGGCAAAGTCATTGCCAGCTTGGAAGCAATCATGTATGATCATTCCCTGGAAACCCTGGCTTCTCATTGATGGCTTTCATGGTTGGTCCTGACTGATAGAGCCTTGCAAGGTGATAGTGCCACCGTCCAGCACCAGCTGCGAAACGTGCCTTGCAGCATGTATTTGCGGGACTCGTTTGATGACTGCATGTGACGTATTAACGAGTCCGGCCATTTGGGCAATCAACTTCGCTTGCTGGCGAAGTTCCTTTATTCAGTTGGTTGCTTAGGTCCGCGAGGTCCGCGCTACCGGACTAGCCTTTGCTGCTTTGCTTGCTGACGGCCGGGTGGTTACCTGGGGTGATCCTGCACATGGAGGGGACAGTTGCAAGGCCGGATCCGAGCATTTGCACCTTTCGTGGCGCGTAGTCGTATCAGGTCCAAGACCAGCTGGTGGGTGTCCGTGCCATATGCGGCTCATCCTCTGCTTTCGCGGCGCTCCGCTGCGATGGACACGTAGTAACATGGGGCAATCCAAGGCAGGTCTGTGGGTGCAGACGTTTGCATCACTTTGGGAGGTGAGAGCCTGGCAGCTCAACGCAATCCAGTGAAACCAACGTCTAGAGACACATCACGAGATTAATTTTGCTTGGATCTTTCAAGCAGTTTCGGTGAGCAGGCAAGGGGGTGACAGCCAGAAGGCAGCTCGACTGCATATCTACAAACCAGTTGGATGGCATCCCATGCCAGGACATGCTTGCAAGGTGCAGGAAGAGCTGAGGGACGTCGTGCGGATCAAGAGCACCTTCGGGGCCTTCGCAGCCCTTCGCAGGGATGGCTCTGTGGTAGCAGCTCGGACCTTCTGCGCCTGCAGCTCTTGACAAGGCATGTCGATGAGGGCTTGCGGCTGTGAATGTGATGCAAGGCCTGGGGTAGCTTCCGTCATGGTGGATCTGCACCCTGACTGCACTCCCAGAACGTAGGGTAGATATGCGGATGTGCCCTGCAGACTTTGCACTGGCCCAAACTGTCGCTCAGAAATCAGAAATCAAGTGGCACCCGGAAATTGTCATTTCTGAGCCTGTTGCTGCCTCAGAGCGAAGTTCGAACTAGAGGCATCCAGTTGAACATGCAGCGTGGGAAACACACAGCTGAACAAAAGTAGGTTGCTCTCAACTATGTCAGAGCAGGCACCTCAAGATTCAATCAACTCTGCAGGTGCCATGCAGCCCGTCCCGCCTTGCCCTTCGAGACGTCAGGCCGGATGCATCGTCAAGGGTCAGGGCGTTAGTGAGTAAGTGAGTGCGTGAGCGAGTCAAAGTGAACCGCCAGATGCTGGGGATTCACGGTGGAGGTAGGGGAGAAGGGAGGGCGCAGTTACGCAGACAGGAGCGTTCACTTTGTCTAGGGAGCCATGCTGGACAGCAAACTCACAATGGCATAATTTCATTAGCGGGACAGTACTATTGGTTCAGAACAAACTAGGACAAGCAGGCAGATTTCTTGCAGCAATGGAAGCAGGAAACAAAGGCATAATTCGGTCAACTTCAGATTTCAGACATAGGCAATGTAATTTGGTCTGAAGCTACACCCGACGTCAAATTTGTGCTGGGACCATGTGTTTGATCATCTTTGATCAACGAAAAGGTTTTTCAATGGGATTGCCGCTGCAGAGTGCGAAATCAAGGTGTATCCAGTCACGGAAGAGTCAATGGTAGAACACAAAAAGTCGAAGCGGGTGAAGAGCCATCGCTCGGTTGTTTGGGGACATTTGTGTTGTGTTGGAAGGCAACTGTCTCAGTGAGCATAGCAGGAGACGAGAGGGGCTTGCACCTAGCAATTCTCTGCCAGTTTTCATCCCAATGGATGACCCGGTAAGACAAGATATGTGTTTGAAAAGTGACATGATCAGGTATTCCAAGGGGGGCAGAAACGGAAGGTATGTCAAGTGTAACCACCGTCCGGAGTAACCTTTGGATAGTCCAAGATTTATATTCACTGGCTACGTCAAACTTGGAATGCCTAGAACCAGTTTCCTGTCCTCGTCGGAGAGATGGATGACAGCAGGACTTGCGCGGATATGGTGGGGTAGCCCGGGCACTTGTGCGCAACCGATTGAAGAAGAATGGAAGGAAAAAAACAGCAAAACAATGGCCAGTCTGACGACCCGGCCACAATTTGCACTGTCTCTTTCGCACTGCAAAGCGCGTCTTGCGCCATGCAGTGCGAGTTGTGGGCGCATCCAACCATGCAGGCATTTGCGTGGCTCCGACTTTGCGTTTGCAGCGCTCCGCAAGGTGGCCTCACCTGGAGATTTGAATCAGAGTGTGCAGACCGTATGAAGAGTGTGAAGATTACCTTGCACAGGTAAAGAACATTCATATTTCTGCAATTGCTGAACCACCCAAGCGACCCGTTCTGGAGGATGGTCGCGTTGTTGCTTGGGGCTGCTCTAAGCATGGAGGTGCTGCTTGGTGGCACTGGCCTTTGCAATGCAACATAATGCAACGCAGTGCCCCAGAACCCAGGATGCGCATCCCGTACAGGACAGAACGTGTCACATGAGGCACCTCTAAGATTGCAAGACCATGAGTGCCGAAGCTCGTAATGCTTTGCGTAGACTTTCGAAGCAATATAAGCTTGCTAATTGAAGAGGACCAGTTAACCAGCGTGCGGCAACTTCGCTCCTCTTTGGGTGCCTTTGCGGCGCTACGTGCCGATGGTAGAGTGCCCTGGTTGCTGGCAGCCAGTGCAAAGGCATCTTTCATGAGCACTGCCTTCATATGTGCTGAAGGTTGTAACCTGGGGCAACGCGCACCACGGCTCTTTGGTCTAAATCTGATGCAGACCTTGACTTGTGGGGTAAGTTGAGAAATGGCAGCTGCCACGCTTCCTAATGAGAATTTCATGCTTCCAGCAGTGAAGGTGGAGACAGCTGCGCAGTGAGGGAGCAGCTCCAGGAAGTGCGCCTCATTCGACCGTCTGGCTTCGCATTTGCAGCCCTGCGCACCTCGTCATTTTTTTAGCAGCTTGCCATTTCGCAAGCTGCGGCTGCATGGCAAGCATCAGCATGGGAGGTGCAGATGGGCGCGTGGTCACATGGGGCAACCGATCCCACGGAGGTGAAGCCCGGCTGCAGCACAGGTTTCCTACCCAAAGCTCTTCCCGGAAAAGTCAGGCCCCCAAGCTCGCACAACCAACTCGTAATTCAACATGAGCGTCTAATGCAAGATTTTCCTGCCATGCAGAAAGGGTTCGACTAAGGACAGTCGAGCAGTTCAGCCGCAGCTGACAGGTGTAGTGGCGATTCGTGGTTCGAGCTCTGCATCTGGGTCATGATTGCTTTCTGACAAGCTTCTGCACACTTGCAGATTTTCCAGCATTGCAAATGCGCCCGGCCTTTACATCGACTTATCATATAACCCAAGCTGAACTGCGTCTGCTCATGTCCATTTCTTTATGTGGTTGGTGTAAGGCGACCACATCTAATCTTGCTTGCGGTATCTACCGATCCACTTCACGTGATGTAGTTCTTTGATCTGGGTTTAGTGCCTCGTTTGCTGTATGGCCGTCACTGCTATAGCAGCTCGCCTGCCCTACGCTTAGATCTCCCCTCCCCCAAAGTCCTGCCATGCCGCGTTCAGGCTGTTTGCCTGCGACTCATACGTAGCTTGCTCCCAGATCATGAGTTTGAAGAACCTGCCGCAACTTTCCAGTCCCTGGCTGATCTGTCGGATGGGTGAGCCTTGTCCCCAGCGAGTCAACTAGTTCCGCTTAACATCCATTCCGCGCTGAGCCGCTTTTGCCCCCAAGCGGCCTGGTCCAGCATGTTCCCAGCAGTTTCCGTGGGCATGGAGCGACGCGGATAGGAATCTCTGGCATCGTTCGTGTCTGCTGGGCTAAGGCATTTATTTAGATTTATACAGACCTGGGCTGGAAGATGCACATGAACATGGGCGAGACAACATGCTGGCAAGCAGCTTTTGATGTCGAGCTGATCTGCTTGTGTTGTATGAGGCATTTGCAGCGATGTGCTCCGATGGACGTGTGGCTGCTCTGAGATGAACAGCTAGTTAGGTCAGGGTTGGAAGTTGGAATGCAGAGGAATGAAGTGGGCTTGTGTTGGAGCTATGCCAAGTTGTGTCAGCGGATTCATCAGATTTCTTCTGCTTCCTATTGCTCAGGTCACCTGGGGCAATGCTGCGCATGGGGGCGATGCCAGCTTTGTACAGAAGGAGCTGCAGGAAAGGTGCCAACACAACTGAGCCGGCAGGCATGTGCCCAGCGCCGAATCCTGCATGTGAGCAGATATTGCAATCCCGGATATATTGCATAAGTAACTGAGTAGTGCATGCTGCTGGGAACCAATGCCTCCGCTCGTGCAGAAGTGTTTGCACCCTTCCAAACCTCCTTAGGCTGCCCAGCATCGCGATTCCAAAGATGAGATGCGAAGAAAAGGTAAGAGTACCTCAAAACGTGACGCAGAGCCAAAGCGCGGAAGCACTTTGATCCTTCCGCTTGCACACTTCGAGGCCGCGCACGCCGCAGCGCTGCTCCCGGCGACGGCCAAAGATTGAGCTCTCTCCGGTGCCGCTCGCGGGAGCGAGGGAAAGAGAGGGGGAGGAAGCTTCAGAAGAAGAATGCTAATGTCCTGAAATGAAGCTTGAAGATCCCAGAACCCAGCATGTTCAGAGGTCCATTTCAGGGGTCCATTGCTTTTGTTCAGATACCAATCGCTCCATCCAACACGACCTCTCATGCCTGGCGGCTTGGCAGGTAGCGGAACCTGGCGAGACGCCATATCTGGAGCGCGGGCAAGGCCATCCTTGGCTGTTGTAGGCTTGGCTTTGGCATCTGGAGTTTAGCCAGTTCTTTGGCAACTGCATGCAACATTGATTTTTATCCCACGCTTTAGAAGCATTGACAGAGCACTGTTGAGGTGGGCTTTCGGCAGGTTGCAGCCGCAGTGAAGCGGTTCCACAGCTCAGCCAACATTCAGACATCCGTGATGAGCCCAAAACATGTGGGACGGGGCCTTTGCTGAGCACAGTGTATTGGTGGCCACTCGGTGGACTGCTAATCATATGTAACACTTCTGCGCCTTGTCTGATCTCAGGTGCCCTCCAGCGGCTCAGCGACGAAGGGTGGCGGATGTTTCAGCATGGGTCTCATCGGCATGCTTGTGCATGTTTGAAAGACTGGCCATGTTCCTGACGCCCCCACCACCCAGCAGTCAATCTAGTCGATAGGTGTCCAACAATAGGAGGAGGTATAACTGGATTTGATACTAAAGCATGAGGGGGTTGCTTCATATTGAGGGTAGGCGAGGAAGCATGAATACGGCATGGTTCGACTTCTGCGAAGATGAACAGCTGACCGTCAAGCTGTGCAACCTGTGCTCATGCACCCATGTCTGCCAAGACCGCCGCGGTGTGGCGGCAGCGCGTCCCTCCCCGCGACGGTCGCTTGGGCTGAAGGGCTGTGTTGGTGGTAAGCAAGCAGCTTGGTATGAATGAGCACAAAAGCAGCTGTTGCCTGCAGCGTCTCTCAATATACATTTACCTCGGCCCCACCTGGCAGCAGCTGAATTCTTTGCTTCTGGTCTTCCGGTCGCACTTCCTGTCACCTCTTTGGAGGCTTTGGTTCTTCGGTGGGCAGGCTGCTCAAGAGAGACAGCTGGGGAAATGAGGTGCTCGAGTTCCTTTCCTAAATCCAGCAGCATTGGGACGTCGTACTTGCCTGTTTCTAGCGAGATTCTCGCAGATATTGCCGTATCATGTGGTCGTAGCTCGAGTCCAAGTCAGAGGCCTTCGCTGCCTTAGCCTGGCTGGCATTCCGCAGCTCGGGTACCAAACGTGCAAGCGCGACGTGCGAGGTAAAACAACATCTTTTTCACATCAATTCCAAAAAATTCCGCCCATGCAAAGGGTGAGTCTTAGATCTGCTGCCCGCATCGGTATAGGTACCTGAGCTCAGGGATCTTGTACGTATCCATTTCATAGCCACAAGACGCTCCGAGCCTTCGAGCCGCGACTCAAAAATGGAGTTGCAAATGCTGTTCTCCAGAACTTTACATAACTTTAAGTAGCCAGCGCTTTTGGTGGAGTTGCAGCTCGCTGGCACTAGCTTGTTAATTCTACTCCAGCATAGTCCGGCTGGTGTCCAGTGGTGCTATTTCCAAACATTTCCGAACGCTGCATAGGATACTGAGAATTCTGAAGAAGGTCAGAGACAGTACTGGGCGGGGAAACTCTGCTGCAACATGAATTTCATGCCTTCTTGTTCAGACGATCATCAAGACGAGGGGCTCTATCGCCATTGTCACCAGTGGTGCCTATTTGAAACCTTAATTCGTGACTGCACCTCTCCGTTAGTTATGTCGCTGTGGATTGGCTTTACCCTGGACGTTGAACCAGTGAGTTCGAGATGCCGTTTACACAGCGGTGTTGCAAACGGAAGCATAATAGGAGCAGAGAGCTCGTATGTCCCATGAATGTGGAACAGCCCGGGCTCGCACCATACATATCCAGGGATTGAGCCTTTGCCAGCAGCATTTCGACACGTTGGACTTAGAGCCATCCAGGAGCTTGATTTGTGTTTTCGGCCGCAAGGTTCTGGTTTCATAGACCGGCTTAAAGATTTTTTCCATGGGCTCCCTGGGCTCCTGGATGACTCTCGTGCCAGACTGGACGGCGTTTTCAGCGAAGTTGCTGGGCATGTGTAGTGTATGCCATCAGCTTGCCTAGTGCCTTCCCTGACTACACCTTCCCTGGTGGTAATGCCTGCAATGTTAAAAAAGGCCCGAGACATGCCATTGCTTGTTTTTTGCAGGCTGTGGCAGGTAGACAATATGGGTCCGTTTTGTGCGGTGCTAATCAGTTCAGTTCGTGACTTGATCAGGGCTGCTGCTCTATCAAACTTACTACACGCCAGAGCCCACGTCGCATGCCTATCAGGCACTACTGCCCACCCCCAGCTTTGCGTAGCTTGATCCCCTGGGCTGTGCTACAGCTGATGCTCGAGTTTGTGTCGTGAATGACTGGTGGGTGCAACACAGCTGCTCAAGTTGAAGGGACGAGGCAGGATTAGGATTGCTCCGAGACCTCGATTTTGTCAGGACTGTCAAGGTTGCCTGGGGCTTCCAACGGACTAATTCCTTGTAGGAGCTTGTGTGGCAGATTCTGATGCCAGATTGCTGTTTTGAAGCTGAATAGGGGCTCATTTCGCTTGTGGAGAGAACCCTCGCTTGTGGAGAGAACCTTTTAGCCATGCTTCGAAATCACAAGGAAAGGGAGCGCCAAACGCGCTTCTAGAGAGACATCAAAAGACATGCTTTACGGTCTAAAGCTTCTAGAGTGTTCGACTGTTCGACCATACCACTTGCAAGCACAAGAAGAACAAAGGCCAACTGACCGCTTGGAGCTTGAACGGCCTAAGCTTTTCGAGCACTAACAGCCGAGGACAGGCATACTAAGTAAGACTATGAGCAGCTACGAGATTGGAATCTGACATGCCGCAAGCCACTTTTCGGCAGCATCTCCTGCAAGACGGTCGGAAGCACACTCTGACTGGCATGGCCCGTGCAAATTCACATCTGTTCGACTTCAAAGTTGCGATCAAGATGCTGCCAGAAATCGTCGGAGGATGTAGGCGCTTACAAGCAGCAGGCAAAGCTGAAGCCCAAGCCTGGGAGAGTAGGCCTGTGAGCGCAGGACCATCATGGCAGCAAGTGGAAAGGCTCGACGATTGCCTAACGCAATTCAAACAATACTCGCCTGAGGATAATTATTGTGATTTTCTGATTGTCTTCGCGACTTCGCAGTTCGTGGCATGTGCTTCTTGCCTGTGTCACAACATACCCATCGACCACGGTGTTGTTCCTACTTCTACGTCCGTTTTGTACCGCAGGCGCTATCAGTGCTCTCTTGGGCCCTGCTGCTGCTGGTCTCCGTAGATGCACAGAGGACCACAGTGGGGAGCTTAAAGATCGTGCATTGAGCATCCACTGGCTGGTGATATGAGCCTAGTCAAGCTCTGATTGTTGCGTGCTGGTACAAGTAGCAGGTAGTGTTTGTATCCTTCTAGTTGACCAACATGTTGAACATTCGTTGCCCGAGGCCTCCAAGTACGAGGTGCCTGCGGCGTGCTGCACAAGTTATCTTATGGGCTCACCCCTTGCCAGCATTTCCAGCTGCTGTGGATGGTTGCCAGTGGTCCTTATGAAGTGCTGGGTTGCAGGGCAAAGAGCTCATGATCACTCCGAACATCCTTACTGGCATCCTCATTGGCCTGGCCCACAGTGCCGTTTGAATCGAGCTGAGCTGAACCTTCTTGCTTGG